AATCCCACTCTTTGAGCATTACTGATATTGTCCATCACATATGCAGCTGGAAGATGATATACAGTATGTGGTGCTTTGCACTTCACACCACAACACAGAGCAGAGAAACACTATTAGCCTCATGCACTCATGAAACTCCTGAACCTGGAGACCAAAGTGGAGAGAGAAGGAGAAGGTGGTTCGCATTGTAAGCCTGATGACTCCACTTCACTGCTCTTAAAAGCTTTTCAGTTCCTCTCTGCATTAATTGTGTATGGGGAGCGCATGGTTCAAAGCACTTTAATAACAAGCCTCTATATTCACCTCTGATAACTTGTCACTATATCTCTTCACAGCATGCCCCGTGCGTTATGCACATGTGGCCATTTTTGCATGCAACCATGTGCCAGGTATGTGTACGCCTGTACAGGAGAGAGAAAAAAGCCCCTAAGAATGTCTCTGAACGCCTCCATACAGAAACAACAAGCTCTCTTGCTTCACTCGATTCTCACGCAGCTGCACTCGGTCTGGCATGCCTCCATACAGATGGGAGAGAAAAAGAAAAGAGACATGTTCCAAAAAGCAATAATAGCAGCAAAAACCATTAAAACACTTTATTATAATAAATTATTACCAGAGTTGGGGAGTAACTGACTAAAAGGAGAAAAGTGACTAATTTAACTGTATTTTTCAGTAGCATTACAGTAGCTCAGCTGCTTTTAAAACAGAATAGCTTTTCTAGTAACAAGCTACTTTATTAAAACATGAAAAGATGTAGTGCGACAAAATGCTACATTATTTTTTAAATAAACTGAGCATTCAGCTTCACAGTCAAGCTATCTGGGCTAAAGTATTCACCAATTCATTTTATATTTAGACTCTATATTATTTTTTAATTGTATATTTATACTTTTTGTAGCATATATATATATATATATATATATATATATACACAAAAATACATAAATAATGTAAAATAACCTGTACTGTAAATACCTGATTTTGTGTCAATACAAAAAGAATACAGAATAATTTTCTGATATGTATCGCTTTTAAAACATTTTTTTTTGTAAAATTATATCAAATGTTACTGCTCATCATCCCCCCCCCCCCTTTTTTTGGTAGTTATTGTAAATTAGTTTGTAAACTGTTACAAATATTATATACACAAAGTGGATATTTTATTTCGGGAAAGTTGCAAGTCGCAGCAGTCAGCTTTGATTAAGTAACTGGCTTTTATAGTAACACCCTATAGTTTCAAAATATATACCCCAACACTGACTATTACAATACAATATTTTTGATATTGAGGGTCACAGTCACTGTCCTCTGAATACGGGTGTAAGTCAGCTGTGAGTGCATACAAAATCTGTACCTTTCATCACCCTAAATGAGTAGTATTTCCATAGTGCTTAAATTTACAAGCATGACATATTGCCTCCTGCATTATCTCCTCTGAACACCTTGGGCTGAACGGCAAGCAAAACCAGGCCAATGTGGCTGCAGTAGGGAAATCTGGCTGAAGCTAAGGTGGAAGGAAAGCCCAGTTCATATCAAGCACCTTTTCAGCTGACTTGCTCTTTTGGCTTTAAAAACTGTCTTTTAGGAGCATTTTGAAAATGACTCCAGCGGCCTACTGATGGCTCACTGAATGCAGCAGAATTGGGCGAGTTGATGTCTGCTGAGCTGGGCTCATATATCTGTGAAAAGATAGACGGCTTCCCTAAGGAGCTTAGAGTAAGAGGCCCAACCGCCAAACGGGGTGGAACTTTAATCAAAGCTGCCTGCTGCAACTTGCAACTCTTCCGAAATAGAAATTAAGCCTTTAATCGCCACTTTTTTCATATTTTGTTTTGGCCCTGTAAAACCTAATCCCTGAGCGTTTTTGGGAGAGTGCTGTCATGCTTTGAAGGTCCGACGTTACTCATGTAAGTCACGTTCAAACGCAGAAGATGGGGTGAGATCAATAGGCGGATGGAAGACGCATGCTGAGTGCAACGGACAGCGACCGCCTAAACATAACATTTGTCTTGGCTCCTTTCTGCAGCTGTTTAGAAGTGAAGAGTGCGTGAAGAGGTGTTGATGAGGTTTTAAAAGAATGGCAGCTCATTAGCTTCTTGAAGTATAGCACACAAAGTTGAACGGCATGACCTGCTTTTCAATCAATAAGCTGCCTGTAACAAAGCATCTGAGAGCGTCAACACTGAAAACCCAATTTTCAAAAAGATTTTTATACACTACTATTCAAAATTTTGAGGTCATATAAAAAAAAGTTTTTTTTTTTTTTTTGAAAGAAGCCTATGCTAGTCAAGGCTGCATTTATTTGATCCAAAATACAGTAAAAACAGTAATAATGTGTAGTAAAAACATGTTTTTTTTTAAATTACTCCAGTCTTCAGTGTCACATGATCCTTCAGAAATCATTCTAATATGCTGATTTGCTGCTCAAGAAACATTACTTATTATGAGTGTTGTACGGTTTAATATTTTTGTGGAAACTGATTTTTTTCCCTACAGAGTTCAAAAGAACTTTTATTTGGAACATTTATTTGAACTAGATTGAAATAGTCTTAACTTTCACGTTTGTCCTGTTTAATGAATCCCTGCTGAATAATAATCATTCTTAAAATAAAAAAAAAGTCACAGACTTGAATGAAAATGTGGTTAGCTTAATTAAATATTTGGGAAAAATAAGGTTCTGTTTAGTTGAAAGCAAGATTAATCTCCATTATGTTTTTTTAAAAAGCTATAAAAACAATTTCATTATAGGTCAAACTAAGCATAACTGTAAAGATAACTACAATTCCTATTACTTTCCAATGACAACTACTTACAGGTATCATAAGTCCCCATTCTCAGACCTACATAATTAAATATTTTATTCATTTAAATAGCTAATAGCCACTGCCCCCAAACTCAATGTGTCTCTCTTCATTTCTTAAAGGAGTCATATGACGTTGCTAAAAAGAACATTATGTTGTGTATTTGGTGTAATGCAATGTGTTTATGAGGTTTAAGGTTAAAAAAACACATTATTTTCCACAATGTACATTATTGTTGCTCCTCTATGCCCCGCCTTTCTGAAACGCCTCGATTTTTACAAAACTCATCGTTCTGAAAAGCGAGGTATGCTCTGATTGGCCAGCTATCCAGTGTGTTGTGATTGGCTGAATACCTCAAGCGTGTGACGGAAATGTTACGCCCCTTACCATACTGTGATGCCCTGTCCGGCCGGAGCGACGAGACAAAAACATTAAAACCCATTATAAATGAGGCATTTGTTGCATCCAGTGGGGACATGATTACTGATTATAATAACTTATACTCTCTTTTTACGCGTTGAGTTGCTTATCACTCTGCGTAAACATAAAACCATGTCTGGAGAAATGACAAACAACAAGTGCTACTCTACACTGCTCAAAACTCGTGTTTTAATCATCAGTGGCAAATTCTTTAAATATAAAAAACGTACTTACAGGCTGTGAGTCAGTAGCACCAGACTGTCCTTGCAAATTTGGAACTGCCCCACTTTATAGAAACAGACATCGGCATTGTAGGCTACTGGTTCAGGAAACAGTCCTCATCCTTCGCAAAATGTGCTGCACACATCTGAATATTTGGTTTGAAGTGTTCTGGAACAGTGTTGTAAATACAACTTAACCAATGATTTCTAGTCGTGTCCTCATTTGGAAGGCCAAACAAAGTAGTTTTGCTTTCACAACAAAACACAGCATCACACACGGCAGGCTAGATTGAGCGGCGGCCGGCGGCCTAGAGTGAGGAACGGTCGGTGGGCTTATTATTTATCAGAAAGGAAAACATGAATCATAAGAGCAATATATGAACAAAACTTTTACCCAGGGCCAAATGCATTTTTTGTTCAGGACATGAGCATGTCCAAACCTATACCTCACTACAACTTTATTGCAGGAGAGTCTGCGTTTTGGCTTTACAATAACTGTAATATGCAATTCTGCAATTGTTGACTAGGAAACAGCAAAGCTCATCTAAACGTGTGGAACAGTTTGAATCATCATCATCCACCGTGAAGCTTACACTTTATCTAATGTTAGGATTTATGTTCTGTGTAAGCAACTTGTTGTATATTTAAAGGAATAGTTCGCCCTAAAATTAAAATTTGTTGAAAAATTTACTCACCTTCAGGCCATCCACGATGTAAAAAAAATAGTTTCTTCACTGGAACAGATTTTGAAAATTCAGCCTTACATCACTTTCTCACCAGTGGATCCTTTGCAGTGAATGGGTGCCGTCAGAATAAGAGTCCAAACAGCTGATAAAAACATCACAATAATCCACACCACTCCAGTCCACCAATCATCATCTTATGAAGTGAAACGCTGCATGTTTTTAAAAAGTTCCTCCAACGAAAAAGTTCATCCCCTGTTGTCCATTCACATCAAAATCCACCCACATATTTGTTTAAAACTGTTTTAGACAGTTTTTGCTCATAAATGGTCCTTGATCTGTGCGTATTTCTCTCTTGTTTCAGATGAGATTACTTTTTCACTGGAGAAAGCAATATTATGAATAGAGCATTCGTACTTTAGCTGTTAGCAACAATTTTAGTAAAAAAGTAAAAAAGTAAAAAAAACACCTTAATGATGAATTTATTGCAAACGCATATCTTTTCAATTCATAAGATGTTAATTGATGGACTGGAGTCGTGTGGATTACTTGTGGATTATTGTGATATTTTTATCAGCTCTCATTCTGACGGCACCCATTCACTGCTATTTAATGCTAAATTTCTTCAAATAGTTCTGATGAATAAACAAACTGATGGCCTGAGGATGAGTGCATTTTCAGCAAATTTTCATTTTTGTGTGAACTAAACAATTAGTTAACACATTTAAACATTACATTACAGAAAACTTGTAACATGAACAAGATTGCAATTCTTAATGTAATCAATCAACTAGGGAAGCATGGCTATTTCTATTAGTTACTTTTTTTTTTTTTACTTGGGGTGTCTAGCCTTAAGAACCAAGTTCGGGACTCACCTTGAGCTTGTCGAAGCGTTCACTAAGTGAGGTGACCTGATGCTCACGGTGTCGTCCCACCAGCTTGCAGAGAGCGCAGATCAGCTGGTCATCCACCACGCAATACATGTTCACCTTCTCGTTCTCATGCTCCAGGCAGGCCAGCCCACGCAGCTGAGCGTCCGCCACCGGCTCCACCAGACGATGGCTGGTGAAGGGCTTCTTATTGGGGTGCGTGGCCCGCAGGCAGCGGTCACAGTACGACACCTCGCACGTCACACACGTCTTGACCGCCTCCCGCGGGGGCTCCTGATCGCAGAACTGGCAACCAACACGCTCGAGGGACATGGCGCTACTGGCGGGGCTGCCCCTCGCGCTCCCGCTGAGCGTGGCGCTGTAGGGTCGCTGCCGGCGACTCTCGTTGGGGGAGTTGGGCCCGCTGACGGAGGCCTTCTGGAAGCGGTCAATGATGTTCTGCAGTGTCACATTGCGCTTCAGGCCCTCCAGGCCGCGCTGATTCAGTGTGATGACGTAGCGGCAGGTGGGGCACTGGAAGGCAGAGATGGACTCGAGAGGCTTGGTGCTGGAGCAGTGCGAGACCAGGATGCGGTGGGCGCAGTTGAAGCACAGGCTGTGGGCGCAGGGCAGCAGGAGGGGGTCCTCAAACAACTCCAGGCAGATTGGACACGTCAGCTCGGACTCCAGTGTTTCCATCTTCAATTGAACCGATCTAAAGGTGACATCAAATCCCACAGAAGCTGGTCAGTCACCTGTGCGGCGGATAGCTACGGGTTAGTGGCAAGCAACTTTAGCATGGCAAAAGCAGCAGAAAGAGAAATTCCGCTCAAAAACAAAAAGGTATACAAAATCAGTGACCAAAGTATTTAAATCAGTTGAAATCATATAAATCAGCACATTGCTAATAATAAAACTTAATTCAAGACTACATTTATACTGAAAACGAAAAACTAAGCTGAAAATAATTCATCATGAATTACATTTTTGAAAAGATATATTATATTATATTATATTGTATTATAGACATAAAAATCTAATCAAATCAAATAATTACTAAAACCGAAACTCAATATACTGAAGAAAACCCCCCCTGAAACTACAGAAAATACATTTTTGTTATTAATTATATTTATTTGTATTTAAATTCATATATATCTTCATATATTATATTATATTATATACATAATAAGTACTAACCTTAAATTCTAAACTAAATACACTGAAACAGAAAAGGCTGAAACGAGTACTAAAAATAATATTTTATCATGAAATGTATTTTATGTAGAAAAATATATCATATTATAATATAGCCATAAAAATAAAAATAAATAAAAAACACTAAAACCTAAATAGAGCAGATATTTGTATATTACATTATATTACTATCTTTTTTCTTTTTCATCACTGTTTGGTTGTGTATTGATGCTTGGGAAATACTGTATTTATACAAAAATGATGCCAATAAAGTGAATTTGAACACTGAACTAAGCTAAATTTGTGATGACAAAAACTAAATTAACAAATAAATCAAACTAAAATAACCTTGATAACTGGAAAAAAGAGGAAAATATAGATTTTTGAGCGGAAAATCACTAGAGTTGTAAGCAATTTGGTTAATGACAGCACATACATTCAAAGCATTAACTTTGGCTCAATACTGGCAGCGTGTGTAAGCTAATAGTTTTGCAAGAAGAACATAAATGTCAAAACATGATCAAGGATTGCCTTCAAGCTGCATTGTCAACGTGACAGATGGGGATTAAAGAAGACTTCACGTTCCATTCACTTCCATTCATACGCATATGCTCTGGGCTAGATGAACAGAGAACACACACACACACACACACACACACACACACCTGTTGGGCTTCAGCGAAGCAAATCAATGTCATCAAGCAACATCTCCTCTGCCCATAAACTAAGACCCAACATGATGCATCACTTCACTTACGAAAGTTAAACCCCCTGAAGTAAAACCACTCCCACACATTCGTGCCACATTGCTGCTGTTTTAATGGAGGGGCTTTACCAGATTACAATGTTTCTACTTTGATGAATATGAATGGGCCCAAATCAGCACAACACATCACTGAACACAGGCACCTGTGCCTCAAGCCTGCATGCTAAAATGTGTTTGTCTTTTCAGCTAATGAACTATACTTCACATGGTGCGAGTATACATCGCCTGTTTGGTTAACACTCATAGAAACAAGGAAATGATGAAGAAATCACACTATATAATGAAATTGTATTACTACCTTTGAAGTAGAGATGTGCAAAATTAAATATTTATAAAACGGATTAGAATTTGGGTTGTCTGAATGACTAGTCAGTCATAAAAAGCCCTGTATAATTATATATAATTCTAAATTATACTGTATATGTCAGGCGTGTCTCTGACACCATGTGTACACCAGACCAGACATGAGTAGAGCAGTGCAGTCAAACATCAATCACTCCCATTATAATCAATGAAGCTGTCTACACTGGAAGCGTCCATTCTGGGATGTGATACAACCTTCAGCTTTGATGCTTCTAGTAGAAACAGACACGCATGTGTACAGACAAACTTACAAAAAGAAAAAAATGCAGGGAATATACATTCAACATATGAACAAGCTAAATTCTGTATCTATAACTGTATGGCACAAAACTATTAGTAAGTAATCATAGATCTGATGACTGTAGCATTAAAGTGGGGGAATTTAAAGCAATTTCAATGGAGTATGTTAATCTGAGAATTTCAGCACTATTTTATTATTATTATTTATTACTATTTTATTGAAAAATTATAATAATGTTATTATTATTATTATTATTATTCAAACAAATAATACGTACATAAATTAAAGAGCAAAAATAACGAGTATTATAAAAATAAATGAATAAATGGTATTTTAATAATAATAATAATAATTATTATTATTATTATAATAAAATGTATTAATAATAAGATTGTATATTTATATTTATTGTATATAATATATGGTTTTTATCTATTTATGCTTAAATTTTTTTTTTCTTACTCTCGTCTAATCAGATCTCTCCTTCTTGGGCCTGTGCGCAGCCATGTGACTTCATGCTGATTGTCCTAGACCGCTCGGTGGCTTTTAACGATTTCCATCTCTGATGTTACATACAAATCAATGCAGAACTCCAAGTGCATGTAAAAGGTTATGAACACATTGCCTCAGTCTATCACATTTCCCCGCACCTTTTGATCTAACAGTGACATCGTCCATCTCCGTCCTATCATTCCCACATTAGGCTTCAGCTCCATCCTCTTAAATGGCTATTGACCGTGTCAGAATCTTCTAGACACACTGCTCTACTGGAGCAGCAAGTTACTGCCATTTCTGACAAGGAACCTGGAGCTCCTGACTGCTGCTTAAAATGATCTGACAGCTCCTGTGAAGAGCCAAAAGCTCTCAAAGACTGCAGACATCCTGAGATCTTGTACTAAACCTTTAACGCGACTGGCACTTATGACAGCGAGCCAAGAAGGGTGTGCATGTGATTACAGCAGCAGTGGACCAGGTGGAAACTGGATGGTGTCATTACTGGAAAAATTTAATAATAATAAGAGCTTGTGTCCTGGTGTAATAGTCACTTTGATGGATAGCAGGAGGGATCTGAGAGAAAAATAATCCTCGAAAGTTTGTGCAATATTCCAGTATTGAAAACAACCATGATATTTAAAAAAAAAAAAAGAAATACTGACATCATGTTAATACTACATATGTGATAATATTGTAAATAATCCAGTGCCACTTGTTTGACACTCCAGCATAGTAGGTAGCTGCATTGCACCTATGTTGGTTACCATCCATCATAAAACAGACCTCGAAAGTTTGTGCAATATTCCAGTATTGAAAACAACCATGATATTTAAAAAAAAAAAAAAAGAAATACTGACATCATGTTAATACTACATATGTGATAATATTGTAAATAATCCAGTGCCACTTGTTTGACACTCCAGCATAGTAGGTAGCTGCATTGCACCTATGTTGGTTACCATCCATCATAAAACAGAAAAAAAGAAGACAACACAGTGTGTAGCAACAATTGCCACTCAAAATTTGAAGGAGACGACAGATGAAAGTGAGACTACCCTCATCTAGATCAAGTTTGCCAGGTTGGGAGTTTTCGGATTCCGTAAAACAAAAACAGACTGTTAGACACACCAGTCTGCAGGAAGTGCCGATCAACAGTAAGGTATTTTTGTACACATTTGTACAGTTATGGTTACAAACTCTCTCTCTCTGCCTCCTTACACCAGTATTTTGAGTAAGATTCATTGGCCAATAAAGTAAAAACACTAAATAAAGTTCAAATTGAATTTGACTGACACATTTTTTTTTCAATATTTCTATAGATATTGTGATTATATCATTATCATGAAATCTTCCTTGTGTTGGATATATGTTCCCTGTGTGTGTTCACTCCCCATGTCTAGTCCCTATGTGTCTTGCCCTTGTTAGTTGCATTACTTGTCATGACAGTTAACCACGCCCTCTCGTTACCTTGTTAAGCTTGTTAACGTCTGAGTGTGTATGCAACCCTAATGTGCGAGTAGTGCGTTCCCACTGAAAATTCCAAAAAGGGAAAGTGCACCTTAAATATGGATGATATGCATGAATATGGATATAGATGGTGCACTTAAATAACTGAAAAAATTGAAGTGTGGAATGTTGGACACTTCATGCACTCAAGTGTCACAGCTTTAATTACACAGTGAAGGGGGAGTGGCTATCAGACTCCGATTATGAATGACAAAATAACCTTAGAATTCATACTCTACATGGTTGAGTACATAGTGCATAAGTACATAGTGTAAAAGTGCATAGTATAGTGCGCCATTCGGGATGCAGCTCTAGTGTTTCACTTTTGCGGTGTTAGTCGATGTTCGTGCTTGTGTTTGAAGTTGCTTGTTTCCTGTGCTTTTGCAGATGTTTATCTATTTCTTTATTAAACTGCTCCTTGCACTTAGATCCTCGCCTTTGCCTGCTTTCTTTGCACATTACAGATTTCATGACAGTTTGCGTTTGAAATTTGAGTCAATGCTGGGCCCTCATTGGCCAATTAGAAACATCAATGACTTTTTGCTAAGCTCCACCGATTTTTGGTAATCGAGTTTTCGGCTAATAACAGCTAATGCAACAATAACGACGATTCATAGCAATAGAGTGCAGAAGCTGTTGTGCATCCATTCACCTGAAACCCTCTTGGCACAGATTTGCAGAGAAATACCATCGGTTGGCAAATAAATAATAGGTATTGTCAAGATTTTAATATGAAAGCTTTATGTTACACCTCAAATAACAAGGGGATATATAGTAAGTCCCCGAACTCATTCTCTCAAATGGCTTGGGTATGCTGAGCATTTACAGCTTATATGGTCTAAACGCCACTAACAGAAATTAAGAGACTTAGTGAAGGTCGCGATGAGGTTAGCGATGGACTCCAGCATCCTCTACGGCTGGTCTTTTAAAACATTCAGAGAGAGTCAGGAGAGTAAGCCAGAAGGTTTAGCACGTAAACGTCTACTTTAAGTGTAACAGGCAGAAGAAGGATGTGATAGATTGGAGAAGCGGAGAAGCAAACAGTTTACTCCTTTCAAAGAAAGACACCACATATAATCTGATTTTGATGAAGTGCTCCATATGGAGGCTGATCAGTCTGCTTTTGCTCACAAACAGCCCCACGCATGCACACGTTCTCAGAGCCGAGTCTGGTTTATTTGATCTGT